CAGCCCGATTCGTAACCACTACGCTACCAGAGCTCCACATTTGATGACTGCTAATAAGCTTCAAAGGTCCCAGTCAGTACTACCAAAGTCGGATCTAGACCTTTGTCTTTGCTGACTCAATAGGGCTTTCACCGGTGGATTTTTCACAAATACATTTCCAGGTTTTCCTTCTAAAGCACCTCCGGATTAACTTGAGCATGTTCCCTTTTGGCTAGCAGCCAAGCATGCTAACCATTTGCACCAGCCAGTGACTCCTAACCATGTATGCCTCGCACTACTTACTTTGGAGATGAATACAGTTAGAGTGATGCTAGAAATCAAAGAGAAAAGTGGGTGTATCATACCTGCTTTGCCCTTTACTCCAGGTATCCCAGGCAAACCTTTTCCCCCCTTTTCACCTGAATAAAGACAATAGGAGCAAAAAGAACAACTCAATAAGCTAGCAAATTAATTCAGGTAGACATTATCTTAACATATTTAAAATCAGGGAAAATAGATTTTAAGTTTCATTAGAAATATCTACAGATAATATCCTTGGTTTTACAAAAATAATTTGATTTGAGTTGGCTGTAGAAGTTGTAACTAATTAAATGAACCATCATAATTTATTTAGAAGCAATGTAGAATTCTAGCAGAATATGGGAGGAATATTTGGATTTGTGTTCCCTTATCCCTATTTTCTTAGGAGTCCTGGTGTGGCACTGTAGGGTAATCACTGGACTGCTCACCGTAAGGTTGACAGCACAAACCTACCAGCTGCTCCTAGGAAACCCTATACAGGGTAGCTATGAGTCAGAACCAACTCAGTGGCACTAAACAACAACAATATTTGTTGTTTAGGAGCCCTGGTAGCGTTGTTGGAGAAGCACTGGACTGTTAACTGTAAGGTTGGCTGTTCATACCCACTAGCCAATGCATGGAAGAGGCCTTCATCTCTCATAAAGCTTTACAGCCTTGAAAACCCTAAATAGATTTGCGATGAGTTGGAATCTACTCCATGGAAGTGGGTGGGAGTTATTCTTGTTCTTGGTCCTAGTAGTGCAATGCTTATGCATTTGGCTGTTCACCAAAAGGTCGGTAGTTTGAACCCACAGATCACTCTGCAGGGGAAAGATGTAACAGTCTGCTTCCATAAATATTACAGCCTTGGAAACCCTATGGAAAAACTTGGCTGTTATATAGAGTTCACTGTGGATCAGAAGTTCTTTGATGGCGATTAAAAAAATAATATCCTGATAGTGACTCATAGGAACCCGTCAGGTTCCTAGACTGAAAACTTTACAGCAATAGATCACCAGAGCTTTTTCTCCTACAGAGCATTGGGAGGGTTAAAACCACTCTTCTTTTGTTTAGCAGCTTAGTGATTCACCACTATGCCATCAAGATTCTTATAACTATCTTACTAACATGTTTTAGTAATGTGGCTTTCTGAACTAGGGCAATTCAATTCTCAGCATGTTTGTAATTTAAAAGGTACCTTTGTCTTGCAAATCTGGATCAAATGATTAGCACATTTACAGTCTGTGTGTTTATTATGCTTCAAGTTTCCATATGTCTTTGTCCTTGGAGTTTTAAAAATACGAATTGTACTTTTCGATTCTGTTCAATAAATATTTGCTCTTTGCTTACAATATGTAAGCCAGAGGCTGGGTGCTTTGAGACAATATAAATGGAAACAAGTTTAAGCTTCTGACCTGGAGTTTGTAGGTTTTGGAAGAAAGATGATGTATGCAAATGTCTGTAAGGTAAGGCAGTGTCAAATATGCTGACCAAAATATCAACCTTTGTTCTTCCTTGAATGTGACCATTTTCTTACTCAGTTAGAAGCATCCGCAAAACAACTGTCAGAGAATTAGGATTCTTAAAGCAGAAAGAAAGAAAACAAAATGTATTTTTTTCTAACTTCAAAATTAGTTCTTGATGCTCAAACCAGACACAATAAGTGAAAACAAAAGTCTTTGATTCACAGAAGGAAACGATTGGCTGAGGTTCTGGAGAATCCAAAGAGAATACCCTGATGGAAGTAAAATTGAATTTATGCTTCACTGGTGATGGGGAAATGCACCCAGGGAGTGGAGGATAAGATCTGAGGGAAATCGTGTGAGGAGGAAAAGCATTGGATTGAGGTTCTGCCTCATTGGATTGAGGGTCTTATCTTCAACCAGAAAGTTGAGGATAAGACCAGAGAAGACCACGTGAAGAGGGACGGAACTGGACTGAGATTCGGCCTACACCTATCCTAAACTAGGAAGTTGAAGCTAAGACCAGAGGAAACTTGTGAAGAGGGAAAGAATTAGATTGAGGTTCTGCCTAGCCCTATCCTACACCAGGGTGTTGAAGAAAAGACCAGAGGGGACATGTGAAGAGGGACAGGATTGGATTGAGGTTTTGCCTAGCCCTATCCTACACCAGGATGTTGAAGGTAAGACCAGAGGGGACATGTGAAGAGGGACAGAATAGGATTGAGGTTTTGCCTAGCCATATCCTATACCAGGGAGTTGAGGATAAGACCAGAGGAGACATGTGAAGAGGGATGGAATTGGATTGAGGTTCTGCCTAGCCCTATCTTACACCAGCAACACAGGAAAGTGTGTGTCACTCTGCAGCCTGCCATATGCCATGCATTGCCTGCACTGAGGAGGCCCATTAACTAGTTTTCTCATCACTGTTGCTGAGTGATGTCAGTCAACCAACAAAATAGGCATGCCTGACAGGATTTGCTGATCCACTCCAAATGGACCCACATAGACACTTCTCTTTGCCAGATATCCATGGATTTACCAAATATAAAAAGAGTGTCATTGACATCCAGAATGCAGTTTAAGTGTGAGTGGGGAAGCCTCAGAATATGCACTTGGATGGAACAAGATAGTGGTGAAACTTAGGATAGTAGCCTGTGTTAAACATTTCAAGGAACATTTAACAGAGATAACACAATTAAGTACTCCGGAACACTTAATAGTGCTAATGAGGAATCTGTACCTGGACCAAGAGGCAGTTGTTCAAACAGAACATTGGAACACTGAATGCTTTAGAATTAAGAAAGGTGTGTGACAAGGTTGTATTCTTTCACCATACTTATTCAACCTGTATGCTGAACAAATCATCTGAGAAACTGGGTTCTGTGAAGAAAAACATGGCATCAGGATTGGAGGAAGACTCATTAACA